AATCGTTGAAACATCACAAACCCACTGCTCTTCTCTTTCCTTCCAGCTTCACCAGCGCACCCCAGCCTCCCCTCTTCCCTTTTAGAGCCCTCTAGTTTTTTTTATCTACAGCCAGCGCATTTTCACAGAAGACTTGACACTGCTCAGTAGAAAAAGGCCTCAATCACGGAGGCTTGTCTTTGCAATAGGCAAGTGCAGCCCGTTTTCTTCTTAACCAATGAGTGAAAACAGTTGCCTGCTCCCGACAGGCTGAGCCAGAGGGGTTGTATTCGAGAGCTGTGTTAGCTGGCAGGGGAAAGCCCCACCATGACGGCAGGGGAAGTGCTACGAAAGAGAAATGGAAGGGGAAGCTAACGAGGTCCCCAACTTTGCCTCTCATGTGGCCTCATGACTCCATTTCGAAGAGTTGGGGCATGAGCATCAGGAGGATGCTGATGAGGAGGAAGGTGAGACCAGGTGTCACGGCAACAGGAGGGTGTGAGGTGGGTTGCCAGGGGTGAGGACACTTCATTTAGATCCTGCTGCTGTACCTGAGCACTGTGAACTGGTACCAGTGATGTAGCTTCTCTTGACTTCCGATGTCTTTACCTTTAAAATAAGAAGGTTGAGTTAGTTGATTTCTAATATTTCTGAAGTCCCATTCAGCTTCCCAACATCTTAATTCTATCCAATTCTTCCATAACCGTACGCTCCTTGCCTGTGACACTTCATTCACAAATGTCTTTTGGAGTACTTGTGAGGCCATCATTTTTTCCGATCTCAACTTCCCTTGGTAAGTTAAAATATACTTCTGTAACCCAAAAAACCCGCCTCTGCCCGTTATCTCACTCATAACTTTATTCATAGTTTATTTACTTTTCCCAGTCTATTGCTCTAAAATTTTTTCTTCTACAGAAAGTTTTTACACTCTTACTTACCCTAAACTAATTTTAAACTCCACTTTCTACTTGCTGTCTTCAGCAATTGCTACACGAACCTTGCTGAACCACTTTAGGAAGCTGGAAGCAATTAGTCATTAAAAAGCAGGCCTAGAACTTGAAATAAATTGGATAAAGAGAAACATGAGAATTAAGTAGCCTAGCCTTGTGAAATGGAATCCTGTTTGCCTTCCTTTCCCCTTGCCTTTCTGGGGTTTTATGAGAATGTGGGAAGGAATTATCTAATTTGAATGATTCAAGGCAGAGCCCCAAAGGCGAGGGAAAGTGGCTCTAGGAAGTTTTCCTTTTAGGCAGCATCCAGCTTCTGCAAATTGTTGTTTTTTGTTTTTTTTTTAAGTTATTAATGTTGATTAATCTTGTGAGAGTCGAGGTGCTAAGTTCTGCTCCCAGGAGATGATGTGCGTCTTTTGTGACGCTCGCTTTTTTAGGCTTATCATTCTCACCAGGTATCTCTTCGTTGAACTGATGTTCTTATTGCCATGAGGTACAGTTGGCTGCAGCCTCACCCTGAGAGGATAGTGAGATGGGAGAAACAGGGAGAACGGGGTGGTAGTAAATTCTCCACACAGATGTGTTCCGTTTTCAAGTAGCTGGGTATTGATTGTTTATTAACCGATAGTTACAAAGAGCATCATGTGGGTCAAAGGCTACCTAATTATTTATGATGCCTGTTTTAACTTAGTTGTCTAAGGTAGATCATTATTTGGCCTTCTGCTCAGGCATAGCGTTAGAGAGCTTAAGTGTCTTGAGGTTAGAACAAAAGAGAATCAGGGGAGGTTAGAAAGGTGACAGTCTTGGCTGTCCCTGATTTGGGGTAGTAGGTGCTTAATAAGTATTCATAACAGAATAAGACACGGAGATAAATAATGTCCAAGAGAAGTTATTATTCCCCCCCTGCAAATGTCACAACATTAAATAGAACCATTTTTCAAACCAACTAAGATCAAATTTGTAGGTTGCTTATTAGAAAATGACAGTGTGAAACATTTTCAATTCCCTAAATGACCAGAAGTAGTAATATTTTTCAATGGTCATGAGAACCACTGGCCCAAAAGAGTCAGTATTCAAAGATCTATTCAAGTCACCATGCTGCTTTTTCTTACTCATCTTCATATGTAGGTGGTCACTGCTTGCTTTCATTCAAAATTGTTTCAGGTCCACCTGCTGCTGTTCAGACTGAGTCTGAGGTAGAAAGTACTTGGTGACAGTCTGTGAACACAGTCCCCTCTTTCTTGACTGATTTTTCCTATTAAAGTTTCCTATGAAAACATTTCATGAAGATGGACTTTCTTCATCTTTATGTCCCCAGAGCTTTGTAGATAGCTGGTGCTTAATAATGGTTGTTGGGTGAATACATCTTTGTGATAGGAGTCATGCTTCATAAGTAAAGGGGAACTCTTTGGGTAAGCTGGAAGGCCTCTTGATGCGTTTGAGTCCAGAATTCTGAGTTTTGACTGTGACCCATAGAAAAGCCAGCTAGGAATTTGTGCTTGATTTTTCTAAGCAGCCCCTCTAGATTTCCCCCTAAATTACAACACGGGAAAAGAATGGTCATTCTCATGAAGCTTTTTTTTTTTTCAAGTCAGTCTTCTGTGTCATCTCAGAGGGTAAAGTACATTACATGTCCTACTGATAGAACAACAACCTGGGCTGACATGCCTTCACACTTCAGGACTCAGGTGTGTGTGGCATGCTATTTTGGCAGGAAGCGGAACTCCAGGTTTTAGAAGAGCGGTTAAGAGTGTGGATTTTGGAGCCCGATTGCCTGGATTGAAGTTCTAATTTTACCACTCACCGATGCTGTGAACATGGGAAAGCCACTTCACCTTTCTGTTCTTCCAAGTGGGAAGAAGAGAATAGCAACCTCATAGTTATGTGCACCAATCAGTTAATATACGTGCAGCATCTAGAACAGTGTTAGGCACATAGTAAACACCTAATAAATGTTAGCTATCGTTGCTATTCCCTACTTATTAACCGTGCAATTTGGGGCAGTTATGTTTTCTTGGCCATGGTTGCTTCACTTCTAAAATGAACCTAGGACCGGCCAAGTGGCTCAATTGGTTAAGAGGTCGCTCAAGAGTGCGAGCTCTGAGCAACAGGGTCGTCGGTTCGATTCCCGACCCAAGCTGAACTGCTGCTGAGCTATCAACAGGTGGCAGGATGGCTCAGCTAAAAAAAAAATAAAAATAAAATAAAATGAACCTAATAATACCTCACCTACTTGAGGGTCTGGAATCAAATCATCCCCCGAGATCCAAGACTTGCCCCACTTCTCATGAAACTGTACTAGCATTATGGGTATTGCAAGGATGCTGAAACTTTATAATTCTGCTCCATGCTGTAGTGTAGAAGGGCCAACAAGCCCTTCCAAAATGTCCCATTTTGCCCAAATCTGCTGAGGGTGCTTAGAAATGTATTCTGGAAATCAGTAATTAGCTATGTCTGAAAAAACGGAGGCTTCTCAGTTAAAGAAAGAAAACACCAAATATGTGCCACATCTCCCCCGTCTCGCCTGTATACTGGATGGTCCCCATAGTTCTTTAGAAGATGGATCTTATGATCTGGTGTGATAGTTCCTTTCTCTCTCAGCCACGAAAAAGCAGAAGTTGGACTTTATCAATGGGCATTTTCTCTAGACAGGAAACTTCTTCTAAAACTTAAATGACATCAATGAATGTTTTTCTGCATGTGTGGTGGTGGCCTTTTGGTTAAGTGTGTCCTAGTTAATAATCCCAAAATATACTTGGATCAGGAGCAAACAGGAAAGTATCCACTTAGACACAAGGTCAAATCAGGGATTAAGAAATATTGTCTTAACTTTCCTGCAGGGGTTAATGGAATATAATAATATGTACCCTTTTAGTGTGAGGGTTCCTTTTGAACACATTGCTAGCAATGTATTATTGAAGCCAGAATTTCTCAGTATTAATTGGGGAACATGATTCAAGTTATCAGTGTGGGACCCACAGCCATTCCTTGCTACAGAGAAGGCAAGACTGTCATTTTGCATGTGGTGACAACTATTTTGCAGAATTAATTGCTGTTTACGTTTAACACTTAGGCTCCATCTTGCAGCATTGCTCAAAGAGAGCCTGTGATTACTATTAAGCCAATTTGACTCTCCTGATCCATCCCAGGTGCTTACCAAATGCCTGCTGACTGGATGGGATGTGAAAAAGAAACCCTGAGACCTTCAGGTACCACAGGACGCTGTCCCAGGAGGCAACTAGGCAGCTGGGAAACAGGGCAACAGTCTGTCCACGACCTTAGTTGCCAGGTTCCCAGCAGATAATCAGAGTATTGGAAACTACGTTGGGCTGATGTTGGGTGGTGGTTTCGTCTGTCCCATTTTTGTGTGAGGCAAATTGGGTCTGTGATAGAGACCTGACTGATAGAGACCTTTCAGATGTTTGGCCCCTTAGGGGAATATGGCTCCTTAGGGACCGCCGATGAATCACTTTGCCTAACAAGGCAGGTTGTGTGTTACCTTGTACCATGCCAGGTTTCATTCGGTTGGATCATTGAAGCAGAAAGGGGTGCCCTTCTGCCGCCAGGATTCCTAAGGAAGCCAGGAAGTCAGAGCTGCTGAGCCAGAAGTTTGAGATTGACGGGGAGCGTGGAGGGTAATCACTCCAGGGCCGGGGCTATTTACTCTGCCACCCTAAAGCTGGCGGACTTGGGGTGTGGTGGGCGTGCTTGCCTAAGTACCTGTTTGTAGAACACTGAGACACTAGGGCAGAGCTAAAACAGCAGTAATCTGAAACCAGTTGTGTTGGTTTTCCTTCTCTGGCCCCGGCAGCTAAAATCTGCATTCCAGATGAAACCTGCAGGGAAGCGGAAGAAGGCACTTAAAAAAAAAAAACTTCAAGGGCAGTCCATTAACTGCTTCTTGAGTTCCAGTCATTTTGAAATTATCTATTTCTTTCTTTCTTTTTATTTGTTTACTTTGGGCTTTGTGAGTGGCTGTTGATCTGTGTGCCCATCTAGGTTTTTTTTTTGTTTGTTTTTTGCCTGGATGGCAGAGGCTGCTGCCCATAATTTAGATGGCACAGGAGGGTTTGGTCTGTAAGAAGTATTTCAGTTATTTTCTGCTGATTCGCTTTTAAATGTCTCGGGCTGCTCCGGGACTGGCTGAGGGCTGTCAGGACCAGCTTGCCGGCTCAGCACTTTCTGGAACCTCACTTGCTCACCAATGAGGAAGTTGAAAGCAACCAGGAGAAGGACAGGCACTGGGGCGGAGCTGTGGTAAAGTCCTGGGCTGGGATGACTGGGGGCCGGCTGACTTTCCTTACGACAAAAAGCCTTTTGTCCACGGGAATAAATACGGAAGTCCCAGAAGAGCAGCCTCCCCAGTCCGTGTGTAGTAAGGTGCGCAGCCTCGGCTGCTTCTGGGCATAAAAGCTGCACTGACTTTTTACAGTTGCCCTGGGTGCACCATCGTCACGCAAACCGGAAGGAGGGCTCAGTGAGGTGACCTGAAAGAGACCAAGTGTGCTGGCTCTGCGGCTGAGGAGTCTGGCAGCCGGGTCCTGTTGCTCTCTGTCCTGTAAGTTAAGAGCCGATGGAGTGGATAAACTGAGAGCCGAGGAAAGCAACACAAGTCAGAACTTCCATTGAGGGCACTGCTGTGGGACATGGAGGACGTTGGTAACTCTTTGAATGGCAGTGATGTCTCGGAACCAGAAAAACCTGAAGCTGGGCTTGAAATGGCCCAGTCGATCCTGAGCAAGTTCTCTATGAAATCCCTGTTCGGGTTCACGAGTAAACTGGAATCCGTGGCGCCTGAAGAGGAAGATGCCGTGCTGAAAGCATTCCGCAGCTTAGTGGTGGATCCCACACCTCAGCCGGATGAGCCCCGCGATGGCTCGGATCCGCAGGAGGCAGAGGCTCAGGTTCCACCTGACCTTGGAAAGGATGGGAAGGCCCCAAAGGTGGAGACCGAGACCGAGTCAGAGGGAAGTCAGAGGAAAACAGAGGCAGGCATTGCTCTCCCTGCTCGGGAGCTTGTTCCACTCACTGCGTTGAGCGCGAGCACAGACGATGTCCTTTTGGTTCGTGGGACCCTCGTGAACACCACCAGTGATTCCGACTCTGATGATGGTGGCCAGGATCCAGAAGAGGGAGGCAACACCAATGGCCCGAAGTCCCCTAGTGTTGTTTTATCTACGCCATCTGAGGAGCCCAAAGACAAGCCAGGAGATTGTAAGGAGAATATTGCCACTAGGGGAGCAGAGGATGCCGAGCTCTCTGCCGAAGGTCCTCAAGGGGCTCCACCTGAGATAAGCAGCAAACCAGAGCCTGGCAATGGTGGTCTTCAGACAGAGCACAGCTCCAGCCAAGGACAAGCTGGAGAGGAAGGTTCCCTAGCTCTTCCTGTGGTAACAGACCAGAACTTGAGTGGTGGTATCACCAAGAGCACCTCTTCTAAAAAAGAAGTCCCCGGAGAGAAGTCATTCCAGCTTCCAGCTTTTTTTAGCGGGCTTCGAGTGCTGAAGAAGGGGGCTCCAGCTGAGGGTGGGGAGACCATCACCGAAATTAAACCAAAGGATGGGGACCTGGCTTTGCTCAAATTGACCCAGCCTGTTCAGAAGTCCCTAGCACAGACAGTGCCACAGAGGGTAAAGACGGGGGAGAAGACAAGTGACCTGAAGGCCACTCCCACTCTCTTGGAGCAGCTGTCGCAGCTACTCAGCATTGACATGCCCAGGGCCGAACTGAAGGCAGAAGACCCTGAGCCGCCCAGGGGAGAAGACATGGGCTGCAGCGCTGCCCAGGAGAGCCAGAGCGGCCCCGGACAAACGCAAACCCCGAGTGGGGAGGTCAAGCCAAAGTCATCAGAAACCGCCCTGGAGGCCTTTAAAGCCTTATTCATCCGTCCCCCCAAAAAGGGGACCACAGCTAACACCCCTGAACTGGAAGCTCTCAAACGCAAGATGAGGCATGAGAAGGAGTCCCTAAGAGCGATGTTTGAACCGTCCAAGTCAAGGCCAGTGGATGGCCCCTCCGATTCCAAAAGCGTATGTAGAATTGGGTTTTACACTTTGTTCTAAAGTGGGATGCTGCTGTACTTCTTCTGAGGTTTCCTGTCCAAGTGAATCCCAGTCACCTACTGGTAGCGACTGTCTTTTAGGTGAAAGATAATTATAATGCAGTTGTCCTTGTAAGGAGTATGGAGTTGGACAGAAGAGTTTTCTTCCTTCCTTGTGTTTGTCTGGATTGTTACAAACAGGATACATGTAAAGTTGTGCTGGTGGGAAAGGGAACATGTCACTCCGAGTTTAAATGTTAATAGTAAATGTTCTTATAAAGACTAAGTAGCATGAGGGTGCAATACAACAAGGAAACGTAGCTCAGATTCCCTCACCACTTAATTATATACCTGTGTGAAAACTGTTTTTCCTTTATAAGTCTGCCTTTCGGTGGAATACATGTTTGTGATGTGATTGAAATGTTGCGTGTTGGTCACAAGGCATCCTGATTGAGCACTGGATTTAAAATGAGACCTGGGTTTTAATTCTAACTCCATTTACTGTCTGGGTGACCTTGATCATCTCTGAGCCCAGTCTCCTCAGTGAGGAAAAAATTAATAATAATCCTCATCTGAAATGGTGGTTGTGAAGAGTAAATGGAGTTAGCCTGTGTTAACTATGTAACTAATAAAAACGATTTTTCAAGGAAAATTTGATAGTTTATAAAGACTAGCAAGTACTTGCCCAGTAGATCTTAAAGGTTCATAAAGACAGCAAATAAAAACTCAGAACACAATCATTCCCTTTTAAATATTTGACCAGTTAAAACGTTAAAAATTAAAAAGTCTTTGGAAAAAATTATCTTAGGTTGTAGTGAAATATGAAACACAATATAACATTCTCATACTTGTAAAAAGTCAACTCATATAAAAATAGCTTGATGATGATGATGATGATGATGATGATTTTTAATAGGAAAGAAAAAGAGAATTGAAATTCGCAAGTGGAGTGCTCAGAGAAGTGTATCTTGTCCTACCGGGAATGTTCATGGAAAATTTAGCCATTATATTATAAATAACCCTGGAGTTGTTTGGGATACACTTGTAAACATTCCTATAAATGTACCTGATTATAGCACATTTGTATCTATATCTTCACCTCAAAGTGTATTTGTGATTTTTTAGTAGTTATGATAAAATCATCTGTCAAGTGTTGTATAATACTTGGCCTCGAGGTCTTGCCGTTGAAGTATAATTGACATACATCATTATATTAGTTTCAGGTGTACAATATGATTTCACATTTATATGTATTGCAAAAGGATTGCCAAAATAAGTCTATTTACCCCCTGTTCCCATACAAAATTACTAAATTCTTTTCCTTGTGATGAGAATTTTTAAAATTTACTTTCATAGCAACTTTCAAATTTGCAACACAATGTTATTGACTGTGGTTACCATACTGTATGTTAATTACATTCCCATAGTCTTGAGTTTTCTTTTGTGGTTGTTGTTGGTTTTACTACCACTGATCACTTTACATTTCTGGGAAAGGATTGTACTTATAGTGAGATGTTTCAATTACAGCCAGTGAGATCAATGTGCAACTGGTCATTAATATTAATTTTAGAGTTATCATTAGCATGTTTATTTTCATGGAATAATTGGCTCTGGCCACATTTCATTTAACTTATTCTTTTCTTTGCCCGCTTTTTCAACAGCCTGATCACAGCCCCACTGAGCAGGACGATAGGACTCCTGGCAGACTCCAAGCTGTCTGGCCACCCCCAAAGACAAAGGACACAGAAGAAAAAGTGGGATTGAAGTACACCGAAGCAGGTAATGTGAAAACAAGCCAGGCACCCAGGAATGAATCTCTTACTGCAGTGGCTTTTAGTTCTAATTCAGTAGATTCTCAGAATTTGAGTTTTTTGTTTTGTTATAAAACGTAAGGCTGAAGGCTTTTGTTTTTGGTTGTGCTTTTAAAGTGAACCCTTGCACACTTATCATTAATGAATCTCTTAGAGATGAAAGGTAAATGCAGTGGAATGAATGAAGGGGGGCATGTGTGTCAAGTTGGAGAACCTTTGAGGAACTAATGGAGAAGGTAGATTACAAATTCCTCAGGAAGCAGGTGGTTGGCCCTCATATAATGTTGTGGGAGCTGGCAGGGTTGCTGGAAGAGGCAGAGTATGATTCTCCAGAGCTGTAATCTGATTTGTTCGTCTTTGAGTAATGCTTTTGAGCTGCAGGAACCTTGTGCAGAGTGAATGTACAGATACCATATCAGTTACTCTTTCACTTTTGTTAGACAAAGCTTTATTTAATGCATGACCATTTTTAAAGCAATCCAACTCTCTGGAAACCTTCCCAGGAGCTTTGCTTGAATATATTTAAGTGGAATGGGAACCTAGGCATTTTGACTCTTTAAGTAAAAAGCTCACGTGACATTTTTTAAAAATGAAGAATGAGAGGATAGTATATCTTAATTGTATATGTGTGTGTCTATAATTGTCTCTAGTGAAAACTGTCATCTTCCTGATATTTAAAGATTATCTCTACAGGCTTATATTTTGTTGGTTGTCTTAGGTACGTGGGTATATTAAGATTGGTCTATTTGATTATAGAAAAATACTTCTTTCAGTTCTTATCATTGATAGACATAAGTGGATCAAAGTTTCGGTAGTTGAGTAATGAGTGGGTTTTCTGCAGTATCATCAAATTGTCTTAGTGATTGAGTACACAGATGAATCTCGAGTTGGCATCATCATTCTACAACCTGATTGCTTGTAGTCTCCATTTGCACAATTACAAACTTGGCCACCCCAAGATGTCAGCTACTTCAAAGCATTTTTTTATGACTTACAGAATGACAACTATTATATCCTTAGTGGGAAAAAAAAAAAATATATATATATATATATGTATATCTCCTTCCAATCTTCTTGCCTATGTTTTGCTTTCCAAAATTGGAATGCTTGTGATTGCAACTTGGAACCAGCTTACCAAGTTATTTTTCTCATGATCTGGCACAGTTTGAACAATTAAAGGTACTGAAGTTTGCTTTGAATGAAAAACCAGGATCCTATGAGTTCTTTCTAGTTTCTGTTGGTGGCCTTAGTCTCGTCCCTATCGGTGTAGCACAGCAACCTTCCTTGTAACGAGCACTTGCTGAGTAGAGAAGGAAATAAATGTCAGTAAGTTTGGGGCTGTTTATACTTTTACAGAGATTCCTTAGTCTTCACTTCTGTCCTCCTCCATTTCCAGAAGCTCAGAGGAGCACTGTAATTTACCTCATCGGTGGCTTTCCAAGTCTTTTTTTTTTTTTTTAATATAATGAAATGTGTTTTCAGAGGTCGCTAAGATCTTGGATGAGATGGGAAAAAGGAGGAAAAAGGGGTGAATAATGATAGTCTGATGGGTGGGCTCTGATGGCACAATGACGTCATGCGACAGAGAGAAGTCAGCTATTTGGAGAAGGCATCTAGGTCCCCAACCAGTGCCCAGGGGTGGCAGGACTGTAGCTTACTTCCCCAGCTCCCAGGTCTGATGCTCGCTTTCTTGAGAGCCTCTTAAATTCTCATTATTATGATGATACACTTTGGATTTATCAATGACAAGTAAGATACCCCATGCCTTTAGGAAATATTTTTTACCCATTACTTAATACCAGCAGATGTTTGCCTTGTCATTTATTGCTAGCCTTGAGGAAGTTAACACTTTCCTTGTTATTGTCTTAAGCTCTGTTGTTGAGAAAACTGGAGTCCTATAAGCATTTGGTTTATAACAATGCATTCTATGGTATTACCATTGGTTTCCCTGCCCTTAGGGAAACAAAAAATTTGCTACTCTGTAGGAAGCACAGAAAAATTAGATCCAAAATATTTCAAGGCATTTGAAGTCTTGTGCTTTCACATCTTTGGCGCTTTTCTTTTTCCTAGGGTATATTATTCATTAAATTAGTGAAACGGGAGGTCAAGACTCTAGCATTCATATTTCAAGTGTGCAGTTGCAGTTCTGTGCTGTTGACATCTAAGTCCAACTCTCGGCAGAGATGGAAAAGAGATTGTTTTTCATCGTGAGCCTCACACTGTCCTTATGCTGCCCTCGGCCACTTCGGACTTGCCACTGCTTGGATTTCCCTCTATTCAGAGTTTATCATTCAATGATCTTTTTTTCTCAGGGCTTAAGATATCACCTAATACTGTAAACTCTCTTTTGTTCAAGGATAAAAAGAAAGAGGGCTGATATCAGAGAAGCTGTCCTCTTAAACTACTGCTTCTTGAATCCTCTTAGCCATCTGAAGGTGGGTAGCCACTGCTGCTGGCGCCCACTGCCCAGGGTGCTCTCTCCTGCCATGTCCAAAGCCATCAGTATCATCTGTAGCTGCTGACACTGTGACTACCTCTCTTGGCAGCTAAAACCTTTGGCTCCTACTAGAGCCTCAGATACCATTCTGATGACACTGTGCCCACCATCAAGGGCAGTTCTGCTGCCAGTCTATGAGCTCTTGGAGCCTTGGTGATGTGCCAGTTGAGAGAAGCACCAGAACCTGCCAGAGCTGTCACTCACGGGACTACCACAGGTGCTAGAGTTCACCTCCATTACTCAGGGAGGGCCCCCGTATTAACTTGCTGTTGTGCCTGAGTTGCTTTGCTCAAATGAGAGAATCTCTTTCTCCCATCTCTTAGCTGTGTTTTATTAATACATTATTATCAATGCAATTCTGCCTTGTATTTAGAATGTCTCAGCAATTTTGAGGGAAAAGAGAATTTTTTCCCCCGTTTTCTTGGAATTGGGCTAGGGACCGTCTTGAGTCACAGACCCTGGTGTTCTTCTCAGAATTATCTGTCCCCCTCTGAGTACAGGAGCTTCCTATTGAAACAAGCTTGTGGGATGATCTCGCTTTTTCAGAAGAAATTTTTTAATGGATGCCGCATACCCTTAAACGGTTAATGAATGCATGGTGAGTCCAGGCCACTTCCCTGTGGGGCAGACCAGAAACATCTCGATGCAGTACACCTGTCAAGTTTGGGGCTGAGTAAAGCCCTGTCACAGCGAAGTGAAAAGGTGTTCTGTGATACAAGGGGAATCTGAGAAAAAAATGTCTGCCTTTAAATCTGTGTGGCACAAGCAATTGGTCTCATGGGAAGTAGTCAACCAATGTTCTGTTCCTCTTCTAATACATTGTCCCCTGCGTGGGGAGGTTATATAAGGGTTAGTAATTGCTCAAAGTCTTTAAAAAAAAAAACCTAGAAAGCATAAGGATGTTCTGTGTTTCAGAATCATTGAATCATAGAGTTAACATTAGTGTTAAACTTGATCTCAAACTCGAATGAAAACGTTTTCTAAAGCAATTTAGGTCACTTTTTTCTTTTGTGAAGTATAAATGCACTTAGCCTTATTTTCTCTTTACATGTTTTACTGGATCAAGCAGGGTCCTGTTAGGGATCAGGTAACACATTCAAGTTGGGTGATTTGATTGAGAAAGTTTATTAGAGACTATTTACAAAGGTGCGGGCAGGGTTTAGGAAACGCAGTAAGAGATGGAGCAGTATGCGGGGGCTGGTCATAGTGAGAAGTTTTTATAGCCCTAGACCTGAACGGGGCAAGAGTAGGAGAAGCTACTGGGGAACACAGAGCTTCAGAGGGAGGCTGAGTGGTATGGAGGGGGCTTCCCCACAGGAACCCAGTATGAGCAGGGACCTTGAGTGGAGGGACGGCTGCAGTGACCTGAGGGAAGGGAGCGGGGGCGGGGTGGGGGAGTAAACACCCTGACCCTCTTCTCCTGCTGTATGGTCTCCCGCCATCTTCCCATTGGCCAAACCCAGGAGAGAAGTCAGAGGACTGGGAGCTGCTTTATGCCATCCCTTTAGGCTCAGAAATGGGGGCCAGAACAGGGTGCAGAAGCTGGGAGAGTGGATTCAGAAAGGCAAATGGAAGATACCCAGCACAGGTACACTGCCAACAGACTCCAGGTGAAGGAAGCTTCTACCGCCCCTCAGCCTGCATGGAGAACGATTGGCATACACTTACAGTATTACAGCTGACCACCCAGGGTTCTATATGATGTCATAAAAAGAAAAACTCATGTTTTTTTTGGCATCCTGTGGAAGGGTTATGTTTTCTACTCCAATCATTTCATAGAAACTATAATAGCCATCACTCAGCCTTGCTTTATGGATACATTCTTCTCCTTAATGTAGAAGCTTTGTTTGAAGATCTCAGAAAATCTTCAGTTAGTTTGAAATGTTTCTCTATATTGCAAACTAAAATAACAAATTTGGAAATATCCACAGATATCACAAAGCAAAAAAAAAACTTTCTATAACCCTGTTCCATAGAGATACCATTGCCAACATTTTGTAGCATGATAGGCCTGTGTGAATTTAAGACAAAAAAAACTTTTGATCACACTTTGCAGATTGCGTGTCTCGCTTGAATACTTGCGTGTATCTTTAAATGACTTTGGCTACACTTTAACAGTGATTATGTTTATAGAAATGTTTTCCAGTTAATATAAGTAATATAATCATGGAAATAACAATGCTATAAATATTTTTGTTAATGGTTTTCTTTAATTATTTTAGAATACACTCCTTGTGGTGGAATTGCTAGATACAAGGGTATATATACCTTTCTAAGGTTTTTGACGCATAATAAAAAATTGCCAAAGTTGCTTTTTTATATTGAATATCTTTAGATAAAAATGAATACTTTTAAAACAAAATATTTCTTCCTCTTTATGATTTGCTTTTAATTTTACTTGTAATTTCTAGGGTACAGAAGTTTTAAATATTTATGTAGTCAAATCTATCCTCATTTTATTGTATAACTTT